ATATAACACCCAGAAACAAATTAATGTAGCATAGTGTATTATAAATCCAAATATCCCATCTACTGGGGTAAAGACTTACTATTCAACAAAAAGTTGTTGAGAAAATTGGAAAGCAGTCTGACAGACAATAAACAATCACACCACACAGCATGATAAATTCCAAATGGGATACATGACTTATATACAAAAGGTCATATCATAAATTAGAGGAGCAAAGTAGAAATTACCCTTTGGAAATAGAAATAGGGAAAGTGTTCATGACCAAACAAGAGATAGAGAGGAGATAAAATGGACAATTTTGATTACATAAAATTAAAAAGGTTTTGCACAAACAAAACCAATGCAGTTAGAAATAGAAGGAAAATGGTTAATGAGGAAAAAAATTCTTTGTAGACAGTTTCTTTAATAAGAGTAACATTTCCAAGACATATAAGGAAGGAACTGAGTCAAATTTATAGGGACAAGAACTATTCTTCAGTAGATAAATTGTCAAAGGATATGAATAGATAGCTCCTAAGGGAAGAGCTCCAATCTATCAAAAAGCATATGAAAAAATCCTCCAAATCACTAGAATTTAAAGAAATTCAAATTAAAGCAACTTTGAGGTTTTACCTCACATCAGGCACTGACACATACGAAAAAAAATTTGGAGGGGCTACAGGAAAATAAGCACATTGAGACACTGTTGGTGAAACTCTGTTATCAGTACAGACATGCTGGAAAGCAATTTGGAATTGTGCCCCAGAAATCACTTAACTATGGTTTTTACCCAGCAGTACCACTCAGGACTGATGATAAAGGATGCTACTCACCTCCTGACAGAGAGGTGATGGACTGAAAATGAAGAATGAGACAGACATTTTTGGACATGCTGAATGTAGGATTTTTTTTTTCTTGACTATGCATTTTTGTTACAAGGATTTTTTTCCTCTTAAAAAAATTGGTAGAGAGTGGAAGAATAAGAAGGAGATAGGGATAGGGTCCTTTTCCACACACAAAAAGAAAACAGAACAGAAGGAAGCCAGAAAGAAATGTAGAAAGTTGGACAGCTTTGAAAATTACATGTTGAAATGTGTATATATGCATATGTACATATACATATATATGATATATGAATAAGATGTTTTCATATAATGATATAGTATAATGAGCAGCTAGGTGGTACAGTGGATAGAGTGCTGGGCCTGGAGTCAGGAAGACTCATCTTCTTGAGTTCAAATCTGAACCTGGGCAAATCAGTTAACCTCTGCCTTAATTAAGGCAAGGATTGCTTTAATCCACTGGAGAAGAAAATAGCAAACCACTCTGGTATCTTTGCCAAGAAAACCCCACGGACAGTATGGTCCATAAGGTCATGAAGAGTCAGACATGACTAAACAGCTAAACAACAACAAATAGTATAATGAATGTATTATATTATTATATTCTTGAAAAGAAAAGCAAGCTCTACACAAGCTCATTTATTTTTAATCTCTCCCTGTCTACAAACATGTCTATGCCTCGCCCATCCTCGAAAAACACCCTCACTTGATCTATCCATCACAGCGAGCTATCATCCTATGTTTTTTCTCTATTTTATGGCTAAACTCCTAGAGAAAACCATTTACAATTGGTTTTCCTAAATTTCTCATTCTCTTCTTATCTCTGCAGTCTTGCTTCTAACCTCATCATTCAATGGAAACTGCTGTCTCCAAAATTACCTACCACTGATTTCTTAATTGCCAGATTTAATGGTCTTCTCTCAATCCTCATCCTTCTTGACTTCTTTGCAACCTCTGAAAATGTTGATTATTCTCTTCTTGATACTCTCTTCTCTCTCCTCTCTCTTGGCTCTCCTCCTATCTAAAAACTCCTCCTCAGTCTCCTTTGCTGATCTTCTTCCAAGTCTTGCCCATTAATCTTAGAGATCCTCAAGTTTCTCTCTTGGGTCCTCTTCTTTTTTCTTCCTCCATTCTAACTCATTTGATATTTTAATCAGCCCCCATGGATTCAATTATCATAGCCATGCTAATGAGTCTCAGATTTATTTTTCCAGCCCTGATCTCTCTTTTGACCTCTAGTCACACATCCTTAACTGCTTATTAGACATTTCCAACTGGATGTCTTATAAACATGTGCACCTCAGCATGTTCAACACTGAACTCATTGTCTTTTCCCCAAAACTCTCCCCTCTTCCTAATTTCCTTATTACTATAAAGGGACCCACCACACTCCCAGTTACCTAGGCTCACAATCTAGGTGTCATCCTTAATTTCTCATTCTCTTACCCATATCCAGTTGGTTGCCACATCCTATTGATGCTACTTTCACAGCATCTATACCTCTTTATTAATTCTGATATTGCTACCTGATGCAGGACCTTATCACTTCACATCTGAATTTTTGCAATAACCTTCTAGTTGATCTTCCTTTCTCCACTCTCTTCCCAGTCCTGTCCACTCTCCACTCAACTACCAAAGTAATCTTCCTAAAGTTCAGATCTGACCATGTTATCTGCCATCCCATTTAATAAACTCCAGTGGCTCTCCACTACTTCCAGAAACAAATATAAAATTCTCTGTTTGGCTTTTAAATCCCTTTATAACCTGGCCCCCTCTTACCTCCTCAGTCTTCTTACACCTTACTTCCATGGTACATGCTATATGATCCTGTGCCACTCGCCTCCTTGCTGATCCTCACACAAGATACTCCATCTCCTCACTTCTTGCATTTTTCACTGACTGTCCCCCAAACCTAGAATTTTCTTCCTCCTTACCTCCATATTCTAGCTTCCCTGGAGGGAGAAAGTCTCAACTAAAATCCACCTACTGTAAGAAGCCCCCTTAATATTAATGAGATTTACTATATGTGTGTGTGTGTGTGTGTGTGTGTGTATGTGTATGTATATATACACACATATATATATATATATATATATATATATACATACACATATATGTATAAAACTAGTATGTACTTAATAGTTTGCTTATTGTTTCCCTCAACAAAAAGTGAGTTTCTTGAGGTTGGGGACTTTTTTTTTGCCTTTCTTTGTTTCCCTATTGATTAGCATGTTGCCTAGCAAATAGTAGGAACTTAATAAATGTGTGGTGACTTTAATAAAGATTCATACTTTCATGTAAAATTCTTTTCAACAAAATTTATAGAAATGCTCATTTTGTCTGGTGTGTGCTCAGTTCAAAATAAAAAATGAAAAAAACCCCCAATCAAACAAAAAAGAAAGACCATAGAGAACAGAAATCACTGAAAACTCTGATCAAGGAAGCCCAAAGGTGAAACACTAGGTGGGAAAGAATCAGCAGAGCTCTGAATAGGTAGTCCCAAGCATAAACAGAGGACCATGCAGAAGCCTGACTGTGTAAACTCCAGAGGATAAAAGAAGATGACCTAGTTCTCTGGGGAAGCCTCAAGAGAAAGAAACTATCCTTGCCCTGAGCAAGGAATCCCCAGAGGGAACAGAAGACCATCCAGTATCCTCATTAGGGTCAGCCAACCAAAAATCTCTAACAGGGCACATTGGAGCCTTCAAGCATTATGAGTGTAAACACACTAAGGAAAATGCAAAAGAAGGCAGTGACAAGAACCAAAGAAGGTGAGGTCAGGGACAAACAGGACCTGACCACCCCATCAGAGAATTTGGGAGCAAGCAGAGCCTTACCATGGCACAAAATCCCAAACCAAGAACTGAGTCAGGAGGTATGGGTAAAAAGAAAGACACCAAACACTATGAAGAATGTAAAGAATTTGTAATTTATATTTGTAAATATAAAGAATTACCTAAAAAGAAGACCGAGGAAAGAATAACTCCACAGCAACTATGAGTCTCACATTTTTTAAAAAAATGGCTTGGCCACACAAGAACTGCAAGAATATTTGCAATAAATGAAGTAAAAGGTAAAAAAAATTTAAATTATAAATGAAATTTAGACTATGGAGAGAATTGGAAAGAGAATTAATAGCTTAAAATAGAAGGTAGTTAGCCTACACCAACAAACAAAACTCTCTAAAAAAAATTAGAATGAGCCAGAGAGCCATGTATATATAATCCATCATTTCCTCTCTGCCTATTCAGCACCATGGTTTAGTAGAAACAACAAAGAACTATGAACCAGGACACTTGGCCCAACTCTGACATGAACCAGCTTTGTGACCTTGGAAAAGTAATTTCCACACTTAGCACAGTGCCTGGCACATAGTAGGCACTCAATAAATGCTTGTTGACTGACTTCTCTTGGTCAAATCTCAGTTTCTTCTTTTGTCAAATGAGGAAGTTGGACCATATGATTTCTGAGGATCCATCTAGTTCTGACATTCCACAGTGCTTTGAGTCTCATGAGATGGTATCTTGTTGAAATGAACATTCCCTAAACTGTTAGAGAAGATCATCTAGATCACCTTAGAAGCTACACTACAGAGAAAAGAGGGCAAATTTGTCAGGGAGGTCAGAGTCAGAAAAACTAGACCCTGGACACACCTGCTGTCTGTCCTCAAGGAAAGCCAAAGCCCCATCCTGAGATGAGCAAAAATCACAGGGGTTTATAGAGTTACAGAGATAAGCTGTGCTTAAAGGTCATTGTAGCAAATACTTTTCAATTCAATGTAATTGAGCAAATATTTATTAAACACCTCCTAAGTGCAAAGCATTGTGTTTCATTCTGCAAAGAACAAATCTTTATTCTTTGAATACCTGTGAAGTCCCTTAGCATGGGAATACAGGGCAGAAAATATTTAGAGGATTTCATCACTCAAACAGAAGTGGCATGCAAGTTGCACCCACTCACATTGCTCATGCAGCTTCAACCCACCAATCCCTAACCCTAGAAGTTCCCACCCATGGGCCAGGATACCCCATATACTCCATGCAAGTCTATGTATCGCCCCTCTCTGAGGGAAACAAGGGTGCTACGGGGCCTATACTTTCGGGAATACTTCCATCCGTCCCCCAACAAGCACATATCCTATCCCTCCTCCCCCTACCAATGGCTTCTTGCCCAAGGTACCTTCAGTGTGGACAGTAAAAGGTGAATCTCCCAAGCGTCTGGCAGAGAACTGGCCTCCCAGGGATGTCATCAGGAAGCAGAGTGTGAAGAAACCGATTCCCAGAACAAATAGCCTGCAAGGGAATAGGGTTGAGGGGGCAAGGCAAAGCAAAGGGGCAGGTCAGCTATGAAGCTCTGCCCTGGGATTCATAGTAGATCTGAACAGAATAGGGACCTGAGCTCCACATATTTATAGGACATATTTACAGGCAGCTGTGACATTTCAGAAAGACCACCAGAGGATGAGACCTGGGTTCTAGTGCTAGCTTTTAATCCTTTAATACCATACATTGATATTGCTCTAAGGTTTACAAAGTGCTTTTCATACATTGTTTTATTGATGATCTCTAAGAAAAGTCAGGACTATCATGGCCTCAGTCAAAGCTTTATGCCAGTACCATCACACTCCTCTTCTTTCCAGACTCTAGGCTTCCAACTCCCTCTCTCAGGGCCCACCTTCCCTCCAGGGTAGATCACCACACCTTATCACCTGGCCTAGGGATCTGTACCATGAATGGTGTGTGGGAGCAGCAGTAGCTTCACTGCACACTGAACCCACCCACAGAAAACATTGTTAGCTCTCCTCGTCCATTTTGGTCACAAAGAGTTGGACATGACTGAACAACAAGAAAACATGTGAGTTGGGAAAAATTAAGAGAAGCTCTGTTGTGGTCATTGCAGTTTCAGGGATACCTTGATTTTCAAGAGGGAGGGAGGAGGAGTCTTTAACTCTTCCAACCAGGCAGGCAAACTAGTACATTTAAGGATTTTTAGTAAGCTCCCATACCAACCTCAGCAAAGTTCCAGTGGTAACATCAGTTTCCCAATTTAGATCACTTGAAATTTCATGTCTAAAATGAAATATCTTCCTGTATGATATCACTAGTGGCCTCAGAGTCCAAAAGCCAACAGGGTCTCTGCCTCAGTATATGATGTTAAATATTTGATAGGAAAATGGATATATTGAAAAGAAAATTGTATGTGCTGTTAGCAGGCCTATATTTTACCTCCAGATCTTGACTCTGACACTTACTAGTTATGCAACCTTGAGAAAGTCCCTTTACCCCTATGAGCCTTAGTTTCCTTATCAGTAAAATGGGAATAATAGTGCTTGCACACCTACCTCAAAGAATTATTGCAAGAAAGCATTTTAAGCTGTAAAACCTCGTGGGACTACAAGATACTATTGTAATCAATTGAAAGTATCTCTTCGGACAATGACCAGTGATCCTGGAGGAAGAAACCCAAATCTGATTCTTATTCAAGGGGACTTTGTTGACCTTCAACCCAGACTTCTGCCTGATAGAAATGTATATTCACCTCATACACTAAAACCAAAATACCACCTGTACAAATTAATTAGTGACATTAATTGAACCATATTAAGGACATCTTCCTATGTACACTGGCAGGAAGGATGGTGGGGGGAAGAAGTTGGGGAAAGATAGAAGGAGAAATCATTCTTGCCCTTGGGAAACTTATATTTTCAGGGGAGGTAGACACACACACACACACACACACACACACACACACACACACACACACACACACACATATATATATATCTTTTTTTGTTTGTTTGGCAAAGCAATTGGGGTTAAGTGACTTGCCCAGGGCCACACAGCTAGTGTCAAGTGTTTGGTCTGAGATCAGATTTAAACTCAGCTCCTCCTGACTCCAAGGCTGGCGCTCTATCTACTGTACCATCTAGCTGTCCCTCACATATATATATCTTCAGAGACATGTAAACAGGTGTACATGAAGGTGTATAAATAAATATGCAACTAATTATAGTTATCTAGAACTATATACACAAATACATGTAAGGGTGGGGAACAACGAGTGATCTATTTACTCTAGCTAGAGTTGGACCCTGTTGTCTTTGTCTATATAGCCATAATTTTTGAAAGGCTAAACTTTTTTTAAAGCTAGAACTTTCATAGGATTACACAATGGTTTACCATTTCCTTACCTCTCATCTCCTTTATCCCCCAACTGCAACACACACTTAAAAGAGTTTCTTATCTCCCTACATTTTGCCTTCTCTAGAAGGTGATGCTTGATCTGAGTCTCAAAGGAAGTCAGAGATTCTAAGAGTTGGAGGTTGGGAGGGAGAGTATTCCAGTCATGGAAAATAGTGACTGGACATGAAGTGTCATGTTTGAAGAATGGCAAGTAGGCCAGAACAACTGGACTATTGAGTTCACGAGAGAAGTGAAATGTAAAAATATAGGAAAGATAGGAAGAAGCTAGGTTACGAAGAACTTGAAATATCAAAATACTTCATAATTTACCTTAGAGGTAATAAGCAGTCACTGGAGTTTATTGAGTGGTGGAGTAACATGGTCAGACATAAGCTTTAAGAAAATCATCGGCAGCTTGAGTGGAAGATGGATTGGAGATGTGAGTCAGAGACCAATTAGGAGGTTACTGCAATAGTTCAAGTTTGTAGACAGCATTTTCAAGAAGTTTAACTGAGAAGAGTAAGAAAGATATTGCCTAACAGCTGTCAGGAATGATAGGATATAATGAAGATTTTAAGGATGAGGAAGATGACATATTTGTAAAAACAAAACAAAACAAAAAACCAGAGAAGGAACCAATAGATAAGGACAGTAAAGATTTAACATTAAAGAGAGAGTGGGGACAATAGTGGAGACAATTTGCTGGAGTAGATGGTAGGAGATAGGATTGAATACATGTAGTAGAGGTTGCCTCAATAAGGAGAACCATGTTATTATCATGGAGTGGAGGAAATAATGGGATATGACATCAGAAAGACATGAGAAGGAGGAGAGGAACCAAAAAAAAAAAAGAGGAAACTCAAGGAATAGCCGATCTCACTCTCTCTCTTTTTCTCTCTCTGCCCCCCCTCCCCCCCCCCCACTTAAATATATCTATTCATTTGTTGGTGAAATATGGCTAGGTCTTCAGCAGCTTTTGCCTGAAAAGAACCTGGAAGCTCTCCGTGGTGCTGAAGGACTGTCACAGCTTTCTGTCTCTGGCTTCCAACCTCATCCTTTGCATCCCTTTTCATCAATTGAGGATATTGGCCTCATCTGTAGTTTATAGCAGAAAAGAGAAGAGGTCTCTAATTCTTAGGAAAATGGAAAATAGGCAGGGGACTTAATGATCTCCCAAGGTTCCTGGAAGGTATGGAACAGGAGGATTTTCTACCGAGGCCAAAAAGCTCAGGACTGTTTCATGCCCTACTAATTTGCTACATGTTAGTTGGATGCCACTTCCTTTTTTTCAGTCTCAGTTTCCTCTTCTATAAAATTAAAGAATTGAATGGAGTGATCCTTAAGATATCCTCCAGCTCTAACATTCTATGATCCTATGAATCTAGCCTCAGAGACACCCTCCCATCCCTGACTCATCCCCTTTTATTTCATAGCATCTCTGGAGTAACAGAACCTCAGACAGTCCTCTACTCTCCTTCTAGAGACCCCTTTTCAGGAACTTGCTCTTTTGTCCCATAGGCTGCCTGTGAAGTTCACCAAACAGCTGGTATGAGGCCCTTGAATTCAGCTGCCTGGAGTTCTGCCTTGTCAAGATGGAGGGAGATCCACATAAGTGAAGAGGGAGGGGGCCATGGGGCAATATCTTCTAAATATAGCTGCATAAGGGGTCTCATGAGCCTATTGGATATAAGGTAGGATGAGAGTGAAAGGGCTCAGCTTGCAGCCAACCCGATCACATAATCCTCATACCCAGTTTGGGCTGTAACTTCTCTCTGCACAGGCTTTTTACCTTTCCTAGGTTCCCAAGCTCCCTAACTTGTTGCTGTGTCCTCCATGGCCCTGTCCTGAAGCCGCCTTATGTTACCCCAGTGCACTCTCCAGTACTGGTCTTCTTTCCCTTTTCCTCTCCCCTACACCACCCCTTGTGTTCTTGCAGCTGTGCTCTTGGATACAGATTTAATTCCAATCCAGTTTTTGCACCCACCCCTAAACCTGGCTCCGTGAATTCCCAGGAGGTCCCAGCACAGCTTATAACCTTCCTATTCAGGAATAATGCTGGTCTACCTGAAAGGAACTAATCCATTGACACAAATGGGGACAAGCAAATGCTGAGGCAGAGGAGAACAAAACAGGAGTGATAGGACCTAACCCCACATACCCAGAGCAAAGCTGAGGGAAAGAGGAGCCGGAGATGGTGTCTGCCCTCACCTACTCTCCTCTTTTGGGCTAAGACCTCCTTTTGACCCCTTAGAGGTCTGCCTCCTGGCCCTGCGCTCAGCTGTCTCCTGGACCTTAGTCCACTCTACTAGCCTTGTGTGTCCTCAGACTACCTTGCCATTTCCATAATCCAGAGTCAAGTGGGAAGTGAGTAGTAGCTCTCCCACAATTTCTGAAGCCCAAACCTGGAGAATCTCCCCTTGGAAAAAGACTACCGTTCCCAATATTCCAATCTCAGCCCACTCCTACCTCAGCCCAATGCGAGGGACCTAGAAACTGACTGGAAATTAGGAGAAGCAAATTTGATTAGAGGAAAAGATGTGGTGATGGGAACGGGAGGGAGAACACAAAAGAAGGGTGCAGCCTGGAGCACAGACTCCTCCAGTGTGCACAAATCGAGGCAACTTTATGGACTGAAGGCAAGGGCTAGTGACAGACTGCATAGCCTACGGAGCGGAAAGGATTAGGCCGATCTAGGCAGACCGACCACCTCAGGAGGGCTTTCGGTCCCTTCTTTCGGGACCAAAGCCTCCGCGAGTACACACACACACACACACACACACACACACACACACACACACACCCTTCCAGCCTTCGACATTGTCTCCATGCTCCAACAGAACTCTACCATCGTCTTTTGCCTCCCACCTCCCCACCTCCATTCCACCCTTGCAGGACTCTAAAACCTGCCTGATTACCTTAGTCTATCACTCTATACCCACTGGCCCCTCTAGAGTTAAATTAATTGGATCACACACACACACCCACTGTCAGGGGGACAGAAATCACCCCTCCCCCATCCAACCCAAGTCCCTTTAAAAACCCTCAAAGAGATGGCGGTTAAAGAACTTTACCTAAAGGGTCTCAAGGTGACCAGACATCTTCTGACCATTATTTTTCCATCGGAATTGACTGTGATCATTGTTCGAACTTGCTTCCAAAAAGAGCCAGAGACACACACACCCAAGGGAAGTAGGAACCCTATCCCAGGCTCCGTTCCAGGGTGCCGAAGAGCTAGAGGAAACGAACCCCGCTCCTACCTGCCGCCCCCAAGTCCAAGTTCCTAGGATCACGTGGTCACTGTGGGGTTCCAGGCTCTGCAGGCCCCGCTCTTCCCTGGACTACCAGAGTGGGGAGCCGTCCCCAACTGGGGAAGATGGCAATCCGAGCAAAGGGGTCAGGGGTGGGGGTGGGGTGAGAGGTGTCGGGGGAGGGGGCGGAGCGGGTGTAGCTAACTAAGTGCTGCTCACACCCAGGCTCCCTACAGACCACGCATCTCCCTTCAAGGACTCCAATACAGGACCCCGAGGCTATGCTAAAGTGCTATCAGTCTTCCCGCCTCAGTCTCCCTCATCTCAGTTGCCACCCCAACACCTCGATGCCAGTCCCTGTGAGCTACGGCAGTCCACCTGCTGGCTTCCTTCCCCGCTCTGCCCCGGGCTAGAGGCTGGCTCCTCTTGCGTCGCGATGCGCATTCCGTCCTCGCAGTTCTGGGGCCTGGCTGGATGCTCCCATTGCTCCAAAGAAGTTGCCTGTTTGGTCCCAGTTACTCTTGACAGTACCGCTCTGCTCACTCTTAGGTATCTGGCCCAGGAGCTACGCTAAGCCTAGTCTGCATTGTGTCCTCCTGTGGAGGTTGCAAAGCCTCCGCTGCCCACCCCCCTTACCCCACTCCCCAATCCTAGCAGCCACGGCGGTACATTGGGGCGCTATCCCCACCTAGTGGTGAAAGTTAATGGGTGTCTCTCCACCCCCCCCCCCCATCAGCTTCTGTTCCGGATTAGGGACGCAGCTAGTAAAGTGAGCTCTCGCTAGAACCAAGTGATCATGGCCTTTTTGGAGCCCTTCATCTTTCTGACTCAGGCCATTGTCTCGTCTCCTGCACCAGGTAAACATTTAGTAACGACCAGCCACGAAAACATGGGTGAGAGAGGAAGACAGATTCCCAGGTTGAGGCTGCTCTTCCCTGATTATATATGATCACTCACTTTTACAAGGCGCCCACTTTATTTCTGATGTAGAACACTGGATTGGTAACATATTAATATGTATAGAGGTGTGTTCTGCACCCCCACCCCAATTAATGTAATTGCAGAAGGTCTAGACATGCTTTTGGATCAATCAAAAGTGTAAACAAAATGTGAAGTCCTAGACACCTCTTTTAAACCAATCAATCAATCAAAATTGTAAACTAGGTGTGAAAAAGTCTTAATTCAGCAAGAGTGGTGAAGTGCTTTGGTCACTAGATGCAATCGGATGCCACCTGGGAACTATACTGGGACTTGTTGAAAGAATTATATACACCTCTGGACCCAATGTATATTACAGCAAGCCAGTTGAGAAACAAGCCCTTAATCAGAGATTACAAGAGGCCAGTTTAGTGGTGGATGAAGCAGTTGCCCTTGGGAGGAGGATTGAGTTCTCTCTCCCCCCATTTCCTCTTGACCAAAGAACAGCCTTGTGAACTTTTAAAGGTGAAGGTCAGAAGAACTGGATTTAACATCAGCATATAACTGGAGAACTCTGTACAGGAAGAAAAAGACTTGCAGTGACTAAGAGCTGTGACAAGCCACTTTGCCACACATGCTTCTTGCATATGTGCCTCACCACCATTGTCATTCATTTATAATTTTGACCTAACCCTTCCTATGGACTTATGTTACTTGTATAGAGTGTGCCCTATACTTTGGGGGTACATTTTTGTACCAACTGTCTTGTACACAACTGTGTAAACATTAGTAAAACAAAACAAAAAAAACCAAAAACCACACCCTCCAAGCAAAAATAAAACAAAAACCTACAACTTTTCCTAAAAGTCACTGAAGCAATAGGATGATAACAGATGGAGAGTACATCAATGGGAGCTAAGTAGGAACAATACTAAAAAAACAAAACCAAACCAAACAAAAAAACTCAAGGCCTCAGGTCATTCATTATGTCCTGAAGAAGGATGTAATAATTACTCTCCAGGGACCTAGGAGGCAGGTAGGTGGCAGAGTGAATAGAGTGTTGAGTTCAAATCTATCCTCAGATACTTACTAGCTATATGACTCTGGGCAAGTCACAACCTTTGTCTGCTTCAGTTTTCCTAATTTTCCTAATTCCTAATCCCTAAAATCAGACTCATAATAGCATTTACCTCCTAGAGTAGTTATGAGGATTAAATGAGATAACATTTGTAAAGTGCCTGATACATAGTCCCTTAATAAATGCTTTTTTTCTTTCTTCCTTCCAATGTAAGTAAGAATTGGGGAAGTAGTCTTGAAGACAGTGTTTAAAGATGTTCTGGAGAGTAAAGGCTCTTCTAGAGGAGGGATTCTAAACCTTTTTTGTGTCATGGACCTCTTTGGCAGTTTGGCAAAGCTTATGAACTTTCACTCAGAATAAAGTTTTGAAATGCATAAAACAAAATACATAGAATTAAAAAGGAAATCAATTATATAGAAATCCATTTATCATTTTTTTAAGTTTACAGATCCCAATCTGGGAACCCCTATTTGAGAATGATCCCTGAGTCACCTCCAGGAGGCTTCTCTCCCACCTTGTCTCAATCACATCACTCAGAGGAAGCTTGAAGGCCCTTGTCAATGAGACAAAAGTGTGCACCAGCTGTATACCCAAAGGATCAAATTTCCTGTTGAGCGTCTTAATTCCCATTTATAATCTCCTTCCCAGAATAAAAATGTTCAAGATCTTATCCAAGGTTCTAGTTGACTATTTATTAGAAAAGTTTATCGACGCCAACAGAAGGCACATGATAGATGGATGAATCCTGTCTATGTTCTCATGAGATGGAGTATGGTAGAATGTATTATGTGCTTGCTCTAAAATCAGGAAGACCTGGATTTGTAGCCTGGATCTTGACTCCTTTACTGGTTCTGTGACTATAAGCAAATCATTTCATTTCTCTGAGTTTCCTTACCTGTAAAATGGGGATAATAACACCTGTGGTGCCCATTACACATCAGTAGTTTAGAAGATCAAATGAGATAATGTATGTAAACTGCTGGACATAATATAAATGTTAACTATTATATCAAGTTTGATCCTCCCAGTCAACCACCTTAATAGTTAGTTGCCTTATCCCTAAAATGAGGAGGTTGGGCTAGGTGATATTTGGAGATCTAAGAAACCTCAGAAATTTTCTGGTTCAATCGCATTGTTTTATGGAAAAACAAGCAAGCAAACAAACAAATGTGAAGCCAGAGATACCAGTCAGTCAATAACCTCTTGCAAAACTCCTACTCCTGACTAAACTCAGTCACTTAAGGGCTTTCTATGTGCTAGGCATTGTAATCAGCACTATACAAAAAGAGACAAAAGCGACTCTCTGCCCTCAAGGAGCTCACAATCTAACAGGGGAGACAACAAGCAAACAAATATATACAAAAATCTAAATATAGGATAAATAGGAAATAATTAAAAGAGGGAAAGCACTAGAATTAAGAGGGGTTGGGAAAGGCTTACTGTAGAAAATAAGATTTTATCTGAGACTTGAAGGAATGCAGGGAAGCCAGTATGTGGAGATGAGAAGGGAGAGCATTCTAGGCATGGTGGACAGCCAGAGAAAGTGACCAGAGTCAAGGGATGAACTGTCTTGTTTAAGGAAAAGCAAGGAGGCCAGTGTCACTGGATCAAAGAGCATGTGGTATAAGAAGACTGGAAAGGTGGGCTGTGGCCTAGGTTACAAAGGTCTTTGAAAGACAAACAGAAGATTTCATATTTGATCTTGGAAGCTATAGGGCAGGGGCAGCTAGGTGGTGCAGTGGATAGAGTACCGGCTCTGAAGTCAGGAGGACCTGAGTTCAAATCCAGCCTCAGACACATAACACTCACTAGCTGTGTGACCCTGGACAAGTCACTTAACCCCATTGCCTAGCGAAAGAAAGAAAGAAAGAAAGAAAGAAAGAAAGAAAGAAAGAAAGAAAGAAAGAAAGAAAGAAAGAAAGAAAGAAAGAAAAGGAAGCTATAGGGCGATAGAATTTATTTAGGGAGGTCAACATGGTTGCATCTGCACTTTAGTAGAATCACTCTAGTGACTAAATGGAGGATAGATTGGATGGAAAGGTAGAAAAATGCATCAGGCTATTTCAATAGTTCAAATATGAGGTGATGAAGACCTGCCCCATAATGGCAGTAATATCAGAGGAAAGAATCAGGCATATTCAAGAGATGTTTCAAAGGCAAAATTGACAGGCCTTAGCAACAAATTGGATATGGAGGGGCATTGAGAGACAGTGAGGAGTTGAGGATGACACCCAGATTGTGAAAAGGCACCAGGTAATGTCCTTGACAGTAGCAGAGAAGTTAGGAAAGTAGGTAGGGTTTAGAAGGAAAGATAATGAGTTCCACTAATACATTGTTGGTGGAGCTGTGAAATGATCCAACCATTTTGCAGAACAATTTGGAACTATGCCCAAAGGACTACAAAAATGTGCATACCCTTTGATCTAGCAATAGCACTCCTAGGGCTATATCCCAAAGAGATCAAACAAATGGGAAAAGGACCCACATGTACAAAAATATTCACAGCAGCTCTTTTTGTGGTGGTAAAGAATTGGACATTGAGAGGATGCCCATCAATTGGGGAATGGCTGAGCAAGTTGTGGTATATGAATGTAATGGAATACTATTGTGCTATAAGAAATGATGAACAGTCTGACTTCAGAAAAACCTGGAAAGACTTATATGGTCTGATGCTGAGTGAAGTGAGCAGAACCAAGAGGACTTTGTACACAATAACAGCCACGTTATGCAATGACTTAAGATTGTTAAACTGAACCCTTCTCAGCATTACAAGGATCTAAGACCTCTCCAGAGGCCTCAGGATGGAAAATGCTGTCCACATCCAAAGAAAGAACTATGGAAGTTGAATCGCTATCACTTATTTTTACCTTCTGTTGAGTTTTGTTTCATCTTTCTGATGGTTCCTCCTATTGGTTTTAATTTTTACTTACAACTTCACTAATGTGAAAATGGTTTAATAGGAATGTAAATGTAAAGCCTATATCAGATTGTGCGCCGTCTTGGGGAGGTGGGGGGGGAGGAAGGGGGAGAAAAATTTTCAACTCAAAAGCATATGGAAGTGATTGTTGATAAATCAAAATAAATTAATAAAAAAAAAAGAAAGATAATGAGTTCCATTTTGGACATGTTGAGTTTAAGATGCTCTATATCCAGTTTGAAGATGTCTGAAAAGCTATTGGAGATGCAGGATTGGAGATCAGCAGAGAGGTTGAGGTAGGGCAGTTAGATATGAGAATCATCAGTGTTGTTGTTCAGTTGTTCATTCATGTTCAACTCTTCATGACCCCATGGACCATAGCATATCAGGCCCTTCTATCTTCCACTATCTCCTGAAGTCTGTCCAAGTTCATGTTTATTGCTTACATGATACTGTCTATCCATCTCATCCTCTGCTGTCCCCTTACCTTTTTGCCTTCAATCTTTCCCAACATCAGGATCTTTTCCAATGAGTCATGTCTTCTTATTATATGGTCAAAGTATTTAAGCTTTAGCTTCAATATTTGACCTTCCAGTGAATAGCCTGAATTAATTTCTTTAAGTATTGACTGATTTGATCTCCTTGCTGTCTAAGGAACTCTTAAAAATTCTTCTCCAGCATCACAATTCAAAAGCATTGA